ATCTCCCGACCTCGTGATCCGCCCACCTCAGCCTCCCAAAGTCCTGGGATTACAGGCGTGAGCCACCGTGCCCAGCCGGCCTCAGGCACACTTTTGTATTGACACAGTTTAATTGGGGAATGCCAGTTGGCCAGTATTAATATGATTCTAATGGGCACACTTCTCAGTTTATGATTTACCTACTAGTTGATTTTGAATTCGCATGTATGCAGGATTTCACATATACCCAAACACATGCACATAATTTGGTGAGCTACAGGTTCAAGTACCATTGAGTGTTTTTAAAAGGGGATGAGGAGGTATGTAATACATGCTAATCATCAGCATACTTGTTCTGCAATGGTTACAGCACTTACAGGCTCCTGGTGGTTTGCCGCTATTGTGCCCTCCAGCATACATTATCATCTTTGTGTTCCTAGAGCCCAGGGCACAGAAGGTCCCTGCCCTCAGAGGCTTATAGTCTTGTGGGGACAACACATTGATCAAGCCCTACAGGTGAATATGTAATTATACATTGGACTGTGAGTGCTATTAGGGATAAGAGCAAAGTGCTATGGAAGAAACAGGAGGGAGTTTCTTCTAGATTGAGGGGTGGCCAGGGAAATAAATGGCTGGAGGAAATGGTGTTCTGTGGTTGTGTGTTACGGATAGAGAATGACAGCAGCAAGGGGAATACCCTCAGGGTCACTGTGCTGCTGCAGGCCTGAAATACTCAAGGCTGAGAGTCTTTACCGTCCTTCCCCGTCAGATCCTTGAGATCCCTGATGGGCACCGGGCCCCAGCTCCTCCCCAGAGTGGCAGCTGTGATCATCCCCTCCTCCTCCTGGAGCCTGGCAACCTTGCCAGCTCTCCTTCCATGTCCTTGGCATCCCCCCAGCCTTGTGGCCCGGCCAGTCATGAGGAACACCGGGGTGCCGCCGAGGAGCTGGCATCCACCCCCAACGACAAAGGTAAGCTGCGGAGGCTGAGGCAGCAGGGCTGACTCTGGGGCACACGAGTGGCTCCACTCCCTTTTCCACCTCTAGTCAATTCAGGCCCAGCATTCTCAGTACCCTACTAGAATATCTTTATGAGTCATCTTTCTTCTGCACATTATACAAATGATAATAATGGTCCCATACGTCCCGTTCTGATTGATAATTTATGAAGGCTCTGCATTTATACTTCTATTTAATCCTCACTGGGATCCAAAGAAGCAATCCCTGCCATCCCCATTTTTGGGCTGAGGTTCAGCAAGCTGTAGGGGAAAGCAGCGAGTCTTCATTCAGGTGTCCACTGTACTCATTCCCAGCAATGGTTTCAAAGTAGTTGTGAGTGATACAAAGTAAGAGAATACGGTCGCTTGCCCAGGGTTGTATAGTTTGACCTAGACCAAAACCAATTTTTTTTTTACTCCAAATCTCTACTTTCTACAATGCCCTATCTACTTCGCTAAGAAAATGAGATAAAATTCTTACCTCCTAATGATCCTTACATTATAAAGCAGTGTGCCTATATTGTCTGATTTGATTGTCACAGCAACCCCATGAGGTAGGCTGGTCAAGGGCATGATCTAACAATACACATAGGTAAATAGAGCATAGAGTAAGGGGAATAAATGTGAGATAAATACAGATAAAGTCAATATTTGCAACCTAGGCCAAGTACATTCACTGTGTGGAAAGGGAGAGGAATTTTATCCTACAAGTGGGGTTGAGTAAAGATTGCTTCTCTGAGTCAGAGAAGAACTCTTCTTGGAAGAAAGGATAGATTTTCAAGACTGTGGACAGGAAGAAGCCGTGGTATGTTGGCAGGGAGGGTGTTACAGTCTTGGAAGAAGGCAGAGAGAGACGCATTTAGGATTGCTTCAAGTCTGAGATTTGGAGTTCCGGTCCCAGTCTACCTCCTGGGAATATAGAATTGGTATGAGATCTTAACTTTCCATCCATTCAACTCCATTTTTTTGTTCTGTTATACACTGTGTATTTTTGTAAGCTGCCTCAAAGGTTTTTAAGGTACAGTATAATAATCACAGTGGCTAAGCACACCCACTATCCTCTTCCTTACCATGCGTCCCCCGTCTTGCCACTTTACACCCCAGTCCTGGACCCAGAAAAGTGGAGGCCTTCCCTTCATCTCCACTAGACTCAGCCTTGCTCTGTTCACAGCCTCCTCTCCAGGCCACCCAGCCTTTCTTGAAGATGGCAGCCCATCTCCTGTCCTTGCCTTTGCTGCCTCCCCTCGGCCTAATCATAGCTACGTCTTCAAACGGGAGCCCCCAGAAGGCTGTGAGAAAGTGCGTGTGTTTGAAGAAGCCACGTGAGTATAACAAGTAGACAGGGTGTGGGAGGGGAGGGTGGGCCTACATTCTCCCACCTGACAGGACTTCTTCAGTCTAGGACTCTCTCTTGTCATAGAGGTGTTGTCAACTTTAGATGATCAGTATTGCCAGCTTTCCATGATCAAACGTGTTGACATTACCTACTCTGAGCACTTAAATCTTTGCTTATCATTATCTCCATAGAAACCTGCTCTCTGCCCACATGCCAGCCACAAGCGCAGCAGGAGCTGGAAAGAAAATATATCTGAAACCTAAGCCCTTTGTTTCTTCTATTTTTTTCCATCTCCGGGGAAGGTGTGAGAATTTGCTAGACCATAATCAGAGAGAGAGAGAGAGAGAGAGAGAGATGGGGGGTGTGGGGAGAACATACTAGTATTTCTCTTCAGTCAGAGATTAGAAGTGTTTCAGCACCACTGGAGTAGAATGGGGGGCCTAAACAGCTTAACAGTTTGAGCTTCAGAGTCAAGTCTTCACCCTGTGGCTGTAGTGGTTCAAGTGTCATGAACTCCCAGGCAGAAATTTCCAGTCCTTGCAAGTAAGGACTATGGAAAATTTCCAAACCAGATTGGATCATTCAGAAGCCATTCTTCTGTTGATTTCTTTATACTTCCCTCCCATTAGCAGAAAGAATTAAGAGCCAACCTTTCCAAATGCCCCTGTCCCCGTTAGCAGGCACCAAAGAGCTCATTTCATTTCCTGCTGCCAGCTTAATACTCACCAGGGCAGATTCACACGAAGTTGGGGTTTCAGTGGCAGTCAGGAAGTTTAGTCATGGTGTGCGAGTGAAGATGTAACTGGGACTGGGTTTGGGTCATTGAGAGCACCATTTGTATCTCAAATAAGGGAGCAGTAACCCATGGTGGTAGCCGAAGGTACATTCAGAAGCCACAGTAGGAGTTGCAGAGAAAACCGTTGCCACTAGAGGTTTTGTTACTGTTATTATTGTTGCCTGGTATCCCTTCAAGACTTCTAGGTCCTCTGAGAAGCTGTGGAGGGAAGAGGCCAGATCTCTTAGCTTCAGCAGACTCTAGGCTCTTGTACCCTCCCTCAATCCACATTATGGTGGAGTAATTACAACCTGGAAATGTGGGCGGAAATTAAGCTGTAGCTCGTCTTGGGTTTTTCATAGACGCAATGCCAGAAGAGGCCTTAAAGTCAGCTCATTTAACTTCCTGCCCCTGCATTAACCCTTTAAGAGAGGTGGTGGGCTGGGTGCGGTGGCTCATGCCTGTAATCCCAGCACTTTGGGAGGCTCAGGTGGGCATATCACCTGAAGTCAGGAGTTTGAGACCAGCCTAGTCCATTACAGCAAGACCCCCATCTCTACTAAAAATACAAACATTAGCCAGGTATGGTGGCAGGCACCTGTAATCCCAGCCACTCAGGAGGCTGAGGCATGAGAATTGCTTGAACCTGGGAGGTGGAGATTGCAGTGAGCTGAGATTGCACCACTACACTTCAGTCAGGGCAACAGACTGAGACTCTGTCTCCAAAAAAAAAAAAAGAGTGGTGGTGATCCATCAGTGATTTTCTAAGATATGCTGGGATTGAAATTCTGTCGTTCACTGAGGTTTCTTTATTTAATCAACTTTCCTATTAGGAAGTTTGTGTGTTTAGCCATTCTTTTGCCATATTCCCCCCTTCTTAGCTATTGTCCCCTCCAAGATCATCTGGATTTTCCAGGCGAGGAGTCAAGGTATTGAGGGTCATGCTGGTTGCCATCATGTTCTCTGAGTGTTGCTGGGTCTCCTCTTGGTCACCTTCCTGACATGTACATGCACACACCTAGAACATTCTGTCTCTTGCCCATTCCCCATCCCTCCATAAAGTGGGACTCTTTTAAACCCTTCTCCATCAGAGAAGCCCTTGCCACTGTGGAGTCTCTAGGACGCCAGGCCTTCCCAAACACACCCAGCACACAGGCCTTTACCCTCTACCTCTCCAGACTCTGCCAGATCTCTGCTCTTCTCTTCACACCTTGATCTTCCTGGGCTCTGGAATTATTGGAATTCCGGAATTAAGATGGTAATTGGCTGGGTGCAGTGGCTCATGCCTATAATTCCAGCACTTTGGGAAGCCAAGGGAGGATCGCTTGGGTCCAGGAGTTCAAGACCAGCCTGGGCAACATACGGAGACACCCCCTCTACAAAAAATTTTTTTAAATTATCCAGGTATGGAGGTGGGTGCCTGTAATCCTAGCTACTCAGGAGGCTGAGGTGGGAGAATCGCTTGAGCCCAGGAGGCGGAGGTTGCAGTGAGCCAAGATTGCACCACTGCACTCCAGTGTGACAACAGAGTGAGACCCTGTCCCAAAAAAAAAGATAGTAACCAATTTATCGGTCTGTATACTGAGTGCATTTTTCTTTGAGTGTATATATTATACTTTAATAAAAAGTAAAAAAGAAAAAGCTGATTGGTGAGAACCATTGGTGGCAGAGCTTCACCATCTTCCCATACCTTTGTCTTCTCACCTGGGATCTTCAAACCGTCAGCTTCTTAGGGCTGTTTCACCCTCTAGGCTTTGCCAGACAGTAAGGAATCAGGGCTATCCCTTACTCAGGAACTCTCTGACCTGACCTTTTATCATTCCATCTTCCTAAACAATCAAAAGGGGAGGGATGATTCCTCTCACATTATAAAGGTGAGACATGCTGGGTGCAGTGGCTCATGCCTGTCACCCCAGTACTCTGGGAGGCCAAGGCAAGAGGATCACTTGAGCCCAGGAGTTCAAGACCAGCCTGGGCAACACAGTGAGACCCCATTTCTACCAAAAAAAAAAAAGAAAAAATTAGCCTAGAGTAGTGGCAGGCGTCTGTAATCCCAGCTACTTGGGAAGCTGAGCAAGAGGATTACTTGCACCTAGGAGTTTGGGGCTGCAGTAAGCTATGATCACACCACTGTACTCCAGCCTGGGTGAGAGAGCAAGACCCTGTCTCTAAAAAAAAAAAAATTAAAAACTTAAAATTAAAAAGGGGGGTGAGACAGACATGACAAGGACCACATGGTGAGTTAGAACCCAGATCTTCTGATAAGGTCTAGCTGCCTTTCTCACAGTTGTTGCCATGCTTTCCTCCCAAAGTTTTGAAAATCACACCTTTCTGGAGACCAGCCTGGGCAGCATACAGAGACCCCATCTCTACAAAATAAAAATAAAGTAATTAGCTGGGCATGGTGGTTCATGCCTGTAGTCCCAGATACTCAGGAGGATGAGGTGGGAGGATTGCTTGGACTGGGGAGGTTGAGGCTGCAGTAAGCCATGATCCTGTCACACTGCACTCCAGCCTGGGCCACAGAGTGAGACTCTGTCTCAAAAACAAAACAACAACAACAAAAAACCCCATACTTTTCAAATGTGCCCAACAATTAGATTCTTTAGGTCAGTAGATTTCAACTAGGGAACATTTGGCAATATCAAGAGACATGTTTAGTTGTCACAGCTGGAGGGGAGGAGTCGTGGTACTAGTGGGATAGTGAGTAGAGGCCAGGGACGCTGTTAGGCATCTTACAATGCACAGGACAATGCCTCCATCCCCACCCCTGCAACAAAGAATTATCCAGCCCAAAATGTCAGTGGTGCCAAGGCTGAGAAACCCCACTTTAGGTTAATAAAAAATCTTAGAAAGTCACTTGTCTTTGATCTCTGCTTTCAGGCATGCGGTTTGTCACCAAAACACCATTCACTAAGGAAATTTTTCCTTTCTTTTTTTTTTTTTTTTTTGAGATGGAGTCTTGCTCTGTTGCCCAGGGTGGAGTGCAATGGCAAGATCTTGGCTCACTACAACCTCCGCCTCCCGAGTTCAAGCAATTCTCCTGACTCATCCTTCTGAGTAGCTGGGATTACAGAAGCGTGCCACCATGCCCAGCTAATTTTTTGTATTTTTAGTGGAGACAGGGTTTCACCATGTCGGCCAGGCTGGTATCGAACTCCTGACCTCAAGTGATCCATCCACCTTGGCCTCCCAAAGTGCTGAGATTACAGGCGTGAGCCACCGTGCCCGGCCACTGATGAAATCTTTCGAATGAAAAGATTTCTTGGTCTCCAATTGTTGAATCACATTGTCAGGAAGTTCTCCTTCCTGTCTAGCTTCAATCCCTCCTGTTTTTAGCTAAAGTGCATTTCCTGTTGTTTAGGCATATTTTTTTAAAAATAGATTGCTGAGGGGTTTGGTTTTCGGTCAAGTTATGATTCTGTTTGAACAGAGACCCAGCTCCCCTGCTGCCCTGATGCTGTGACATCTCACCCTCTCTCACTGTGTGTTTCTCTCTGTGTGTACGTGTGTGTCTTGTGTGTCTTTCTTCATCCTCCAGGTCCCCAGGTCCTGACCTGGCCTTCCTGACTTCCTGTCCTGACAAGAACAAAGTCCATTTCAACCCGACCGGCTCAGCCTTCTGCCCCGTCAGCCTGATGAAGCCCCTCTTCCCCGGCATGGGCTTCATCTTCCGTAACTGCCCCTCAAACCCGGGGTCTCCCCTTCCCCCGGCCAGCCCCAGGCCACCACCTCGGAAGGATCCGGAGGCCTCCAAGGCCTCCCCACTGCCCTTCGAGCCATGGCAGCGCACCCCACCATCAGAAGAGTCTGTGCTTTTCCAGAGCTCCCTGATGGTCTGAGGGTCCCATCCCTGCCCCACTTTACCATAGAGACCAGTGCCTTGGTGGCAGGTCCCTCCCCAGGTCCCCTGAGATGGGGTATGGAGGGGCCCTTCCCTCTCGGCCTTTGAGCACTTTCTTTCACTTATCGTGTCAAAGTCCTGGGTCCTCTTTTTGATGGGCACTGGCCCCTCTGAACGTGATGGGACCTGCCTTCTCCACTAGCAGCTGGGCAGGTCACAACTCACACCTGTGTAGCTGCCACATCCCTCACTTGGTGGAAAACACCCAGAAGGTCTGGAGTCCCTCACCCCTGGGTGTCAGTCCAAATGACTGTATAGGAGGCCCTTATTTTTGTCACAGAGCAAGCTGGCCATGAATGAAGGAGAGAGGACGCCACAGATTTCCTTCCCTCCCTTGCAGGAGACCGTAAGATAGATCCCCCATCCTCTCAGCCCTATCCCCACGCCTCCCTCTCATTAGAGGAGCTGACCAAAGCAGTCCTAATGGGCCATAACACTTGACCAATTCAGCTGCTGGCAGAGGGAGGAAACAAGTGTTTTCCCAAGTGGCATTTTCATCTCGCTTTCACCCTGACTAAAGATTGTCTTAAGTAGCAGGCCAGCCTGCCCAGCCCCAGGTGGGTAGTGGGGAGGAGAGCTGGCATTCCTCCAGGTGGCAAATGGCAAATCTATACTCTCCGCCTGCCCCAGGGCTGGATTGGATTAGAAAAATGCCTATTTTTCTTGTATCGATGTAGAAACTCTATTTTCTCCCAAAGACACTATTTTTGCAGCTGTTTGAAGTTTGTATATTTTCCGTACTGCAGAGCTTACACAAAATTGAAGAATGTTAATGTTCGAGTTTTCTTATCTTGTGTTTAGAGGTTGTTTTTTGCAGATCTTGGTGTTAATAGACCAAATAAATAAATAAATATTCCCAGCAGCTTGAAGTTCTGTTAAATATGTGGGGAAGGAGGAGTGGGGTAGAGATTAAGGGTATTATACTGATCATTTTATCTTTGTCTTCAAGAGAAGGAGCCTCAATTCCCACATCTGGGTGTTGTTATGGCTGTACACAAGAGTTCCTGTCCTCTGGACACCATGCTTGCATACTTTACATGGACATAAACAACAGACCCATGAAAAGGCTGTCCAGAATGAAGAGTGTGGTTTGTCCTAGAGGTGGAGTGAGGGAGTCATTGGGGAAGTTAGCCATTCTTGTGTGAGTCTGAAAGAGCTCCCTAAGGAGAATGGATTTCAGAGAGGAAAAGCAGGTGACCAAGGGAAGACAGTTTGACATTGTGGGTGTTCTTTGCACTGGCTGGAACTCTCGACAGTTTGGGGGAAGCTTTGGTTCATCTCAGGGAGTACCCACAACATAGTGTGCAGCCTTGAAGGGAACAAAGAAACTATACAAAGACACTATTCTTATCCTTTCGCAGCCTTTATAATGCTGCACCTGTAAGAGCTCTTAGGCTTTTGGGGAAAATGGGAATAACCATCCCAATATTTCAATGATGCTTTGGAATTTCCAAAGCATTTTCACAAAAGACATATCCCCATTGTATGGGTGAACAGTTGACTACCCCAAGGGCAGTAATAATAAGTACAATTGTATCTACCTCATAAGACCTGACAACAAACTCCTAAACCAGGCTATCCTAACCACCATTCATTGGGCTGTAAGAACCAGCTACCATGTTAAGTGCTTTACATAAAATGTTATTGAAATACGACAACCACCCAGTAAGAGAAATATGGTAAGTCCCACTGTATAATCAGGGAAGGACAAATAGATTGAATACCTTTCCCCAAAAGACACAGATATGAAGTGGGGTAGTTAGGATTGGAAACCTGATCATTTGAATCCAGTGCCCATGTTTCTAACCACAGCGCTCTCCTGCTTGTTATTATATTCCCATTAATTTCACATGAGGAAACTTGACTCAGAGGACAAGGACAAGGGAATTGTTTGAGGTCCCAGCTGGTAAAGAAGCAGAGCTGGCAGGTCTCTCCGCCCAGCTATTTGGTGCCCTGGCATCGCAGGCTGAGCCAATAGAGTAAGCTACTGAGCAAGAGAGCAAATGTATGGGGATTCCCATGCCACTAATATCGAGGAGACAGTGGGCTGGGGACAGACCCTATCTTCTATCCCTTACCCCTCCCTCTAAAAGACTTCTGGCTCCCCCGCAAAGCCTTAGTGAGTCAGGCCCAGAGCAAGGGGTGTGGTGCTGCCCAGTATTTCCTTCCTTTGCCCGAGGCTGTGCCAAAAGAGCAGGCTGCTAGAAGAGAAGGAGCCTCGACCTAGAGAGCAGCCCAGAGTCCACCTGGTGGCCGGAGATTTGGGCCAGTTAAGTAGGGGGTTGGAGGTAGTAGTGGGAAGACCTTAGGTCAGTCTTGCCCTGGCAATTCGTGCCAGCAAGTGGAGACCCAACACTTGCATGAGGAAGGGATCCAACGAGGTGCTCATTAATGGGAAATATTCAGAAGCGCGGCCGAAGGGTTTAAGCCATTGTTGGTGAGTTAAGACTTGGAAGAAAACTGACTTCAATAAACTTCCATTTCCACTCCTCGATATGAGGAAATAAGATCAGGGCTGAGAAACAGTGATGACTAATAATACCTTAAACTTGCACAGCATACTTTACAAAACACTTTCACCAACCTCAATTCATTCGATCCTCACAACAGTCAAGAGGCGACAAGGTGGCTATTGCTAATTATCCCTAGTTTCCAGACCTGGAAAACTCTGGCTCAGAACTTGGGTGACACGGGTAGGTTACCCCGCCTTTAAGTGACCAAGCCGAGACTTACTGTGCCGCTCTCCCCCTTGGAAGCCTAGTGAAGTGCCTAGGTAATGAGCAGGTAAAGTCGCTGACGCTAGGCAGCAGCTAGACGGCGCTGAGGCTCCAGTAAGAAATTTTGGCATTAGGACCCAGCAGAAGCCTGGCCGCCCGCCGCGGAAAAGACTATTGGATTTGCTCTGCCGGCCGCACCTCCTCCTGTCCCGCCTACCTGTCCGAGTTCGCACAGCGCAGCCAATTGGTGGCCTCCACATCCCTATACGTCATTATTCTACGCCCGGGTGGCTCTAGGACACCCTGTGGTGCTCTGGGTAGCAGTTGTCCTCAGAGTTGCCTGATTGGAAAAATCTCCAGGTCGAGAAAATGGTCTCGAGGCTGCCGGTTCCCCTGGCCCTCAGGGATGGAGCCAAGGTCCCAGGGCGGGTTTTCTTTCCTAGGAAGTGGTTGCTGCGTTCTGAGGAGTTTCCCCCTTGGCAGCCCTGAGCTGGCAGTTCCGGTAGTGACTGCTGGGCCCTGCTGGACGGCGGTCGCATGCAGCTCCTATGAGGCCCCTGCCGCCGGTCGGCGATGTCCGGCTGGATCTGTCGCCTCCGCCGCCGCTGCTGCCGGTGCCGGTTGTGAGCGGGTCTCCAGTCGGCTCCTCCGGGCGTCTCATGGCCTCTAGCAGCTCCCTGGTGCCCGACCGGCTGCGCCTGCCGCTCTGCTTCCTGGGTGTCTTTGTCTGCTATTTTTACTATGGGATCCTGCAGGAAAAGATGTGAGCGACCCCGGGGGCGGGCCGACATTCTCTCCCCAGTCTGTGACAGGGGTCCCGGGCCTTCTGCCTCTGGACCTTCTGCCTCTTGTCCTTCTGCCCGGCTGTCGCCCTCTTAGCACCCCACTACTTTTGCAGCTATGGCTGAACCTACCCAGAATTCCAGAACTCCAGGGTTATTTTCTGGATTCTTTGGACTTGGTTATTTTCTTTTTTAGCTGTTTTTCCCTGCTTGGTTCTAAGAGCCTGCGTTTTACAGGCTGAGACTTCTACCCCTCAAAGAGGACCCGAGTCGGCCCCCTTTTGGTACTCCCAGATGCTTGCAAACAACCTATTCGCCCTCGGCCTTGGTGCCGTAGCCCAAATACCGTCTCCTCCTGCCTGGGGTACCTGACTTCACTGTCTCGTTTTGCATGTTTCCTCTCCGTCTTTTTCGGGTATTCTTTCCTTAGGCTATGGAATCAGTAGGCTGGAATGTCTAGTTTCTAGATCCAGTAAAATCAGCCCCTTTTGCAGATGAGCCTAGTGGTCCTTACAAACTCTCCCTACATCCAGAGAGGCAAGATAATTTTAAAGTTTTCAGTGGTTCTGGATATATTAGATGACAGTGACTGAAATATACTAATTTTCGTCTCTTTTGTCATGCATTTCATTTCTAGAACAAGAGGAAAGTATGGAGAGGGAGCCAAACAGGAGACGTTCACCTTTGCCTTAACTTTGGTCTTCATTCAATGTGTGATCAATGCTGTGTTTGCCAAGATCTGTGAGTACCTAGATAGTAATTTGTTGGGTACCCCATCACCCCAAGTTCCTTCAGTATGTTAGGCATTAAACATTGATTCAACCTTAAAGGCTAACTCATGATCTCCACCTCATTTTGTACTCACACAGCCTCTCTGTGAAGTCTGTAAAACTAATGACTTTGAAGTGGAGTAAAATATTATTTCCCCAATTTTTATCAACTTCTGAGTTAGAAATGTTCAGAGAATGGGTCTTCTGTATTCCAAATCCCCACTGAAAATACTTGAAACATTTTTTTCTTTCTCTTTGAGTTTCTTTTGTGTGTCAGCTTCAAGCATGCTTTGAGCATTCTCTCTTTGTTCCCTGGGGACTAGCAGCAGGGCTGACTGGTCCCTTGAACTGAATGAGGCCCTCACCTCCACCCTGCATGTGGTCTTTTGTTGGGCTTAGGCAGCATTGGAAAGATGAATAATTTTCAGAGATTTCCCAGTGTAAGAGGACAGAAATAGCTTGTGTCTTATTTGACAGACAAGTTCCTTTCATGTGGCTTCAGCTTTGCTTAGTGGTCCATCCTAGCCCCACCAGGTTTCTCTTGTTTTTTTTTTTTTTT